ACTCCTAGGTAGGGGGTCTGCCAGGTTAAGTGGTAAAAATACATCTCATTTATTAAATATCCCCATATTCCCCTCCAGCCGGAGCTGTACTGTTCTGTCTCCCACCAGCAGTGTGTATGTGCCTGTTTCTCTACAGAGGGTCAGAACTTAGGGATTTTTGCCAGTTCAGTAGGTGAAAACCCTGGAGCTCTTTAAAAATACCAATGCGCGTATCTTCCCTCTAGAGGTTCTTATTCAGTGGCATGGGCTGGGGCCTGGCCGTGTGTTTTGTTGTGAATGCCTGCTGGCGGTGTTGCATCGGCTGGGGTTAGGTCCATTGTGTGCAGTTTACCAGGTTCCTGTTGGTGCTTTCCACAGCTTAAATGAAACTGTCGACACTGGGTACCAGTCATTTTTTTTCCTTTTTGCCAATTTGTTATCTGCCTTACCTTTTACCTCTTTCCTCTGTTCCTGTGCACTTGCTGCCTCCTAGCCCAGACTTCTGTCTTCCCTGGAGTGCTTCTCTCTGTCCCCCTGCCTGCCCAGGCCTGTGGGGAGGTCACGGAGCCTTGCCCTTGTGACCCGCAGGTGTCTGACTTTCGGGAGCAGCTGCTGGCACGTGCTGGGGCCGAAGCCGAGCGAGTGGTGGAGTTTTCCTGTGGTAAGGACCCACGGCCAGGGTGGGACGGGCCACGCACCACACACTGGCCGCTGTTGGCACAGTTGAAGCCACGAGGTGGGAACTGCTCCCTTTGCCAGCTCTCTTGGCCAGCGGACTGACTTAGCCCCGCGCTTCCACGCCGTGTCCCGCTGCCCACCAGTGCTGTAGAAGCAGGGGGGGTGGCCGAGTGTCAGAACTGCCCTTCTAGCATGGAAGACAGGGTTGTAGAACGCTCCTTCTGGACCCTGCCATGTGGAACAGCCCCTCCTCGGTCTCTGCAGGTCACGTGATCCCTCCAGACAACATCCTGCCCCTCGTCATCTGCAGTGGGCCCTCAGGCCAGGAGCTGGAGTTCACATACCAGAAGCGAGAGCTGCCTCAGATGGTTTGTACCAGCCCGACTGCCTTACCACAGCCTCTGCCGGGGCAGGAGAGTGCTCTGGGGTGGCGGGTGTTCTGGCCAGTGCTTCGCGTCCAGGGGCCGCATCTTCCACCACAGAGCTGGTACAGGGGGGCTGGTGTCCATCTTGATGCTTATCGGGAGAAGTCTGTGCGTCCCCCTCCCCTCCCTCCCTGGACTGTTAAATAAGTGTTCTTAAACCTCCAGGCGTTCCTTCAGGATGAAACTGATGAGGAAGCTGTTCCTTTCCTCTGGCTCTCTTGCCATTGGGCAGGGATGCGGGTGTTGGGAGCCTGTCGCTAGAGGCTGCCTGGGGTTTTCAGTGGTGCAGTGGGCTCTGGGAGTTGGAGCAGGGAGGACTCGGGACACCAGCAGCGGGACTAGCTCTGGCATGCTGGCCTTGCGATGTGTGTGGTGCGCGCTGCCACTCCCCAGGAGCATCAGTTGGGTGTGTGTGTGGTGGGAGGGTGGCACTTGCCTGTCTGTTGCTTCCTGCTCGGGGGGCCTCTGGGCCTCACTTCTCTTCCCTGGCTGCAGTCACCCTGGGATCTCTGTGCTTGGTTTGGAGTCCCAAGGTTAGGAAGCGTTATTTGGGCACGGCTTCAGGGAGGGATCTCTCTTCTTTCCTTAGATGGATGAGACGGGTCGCATTCTCTGTAACCTGTGCAATGTGGTCCCTGGAGGGGTGGTCTGTTTCTTCCCCTCCTATGAGTACCAGCGCCAAGTCCATGCCCACTGGGATAAGAGCGGTCTGCTGGCCCGCCTGGCTCTTAGGAAAAAGGTGAGTGACCCGTTAGCTGGGACTCCCACTTGTGAGGTCAGTGGCACCCAGGGTGTCTGCCAGGATTTCTCATGTATGTCAGACCAGATGGTTAGGCTCGCGTCTGGGCTCCTGCTAGTTCCTTACTCCCACCTCATCACCTCCCACAGGATTTCCCTCTAGCACCTGACTTGGTGGGGCTTTTCGGTTGCCAGTTGGGAAAACATAGGGTCGAGAGCAGACCTGGGACCCACACCTTCTGAAACCTTTGTCTGGTAGACATTGTCTGTTTTCCTTCAGATATTTCAGGAACCCAAGAGAGCGAACCAGGTAGAGCAGGTGCTGCTGGAATATTCCAGGTGCATTAAGGTGAGTGGTGTAACTGAGGCCTGGGGTCCGGAGAGCACCTGGAGCTGGCAGTTGCAGATAGTTTGCGTGGCTCCAGGCTCTTCTCCACAACTTTGGCTGCTGTCTCCCACAGTGCTGTGGCCAAGCGGGAGGCACGGTGACAGGTGCTCTGCTCCTCTCCGTGGTTGGAGGAAAGATGAGTGAAGGCATTAACTTCTCTGACAACCTTGGCCGGTAAGTTATGGGCCTCTCGGCTCCTGGGTTCTGACTCTGACCACCGCTCACTCCAAACAGCAGGGACCCTACCTGCAAGCCAAAGCCATCTGAGTCTGCACCCCAGCTAACTGCTCAGGCCACTCAGCTGTGTGGGGGGAAGTGCTTCAGCCCTTTGCTTCCAGGTGGAAGTTAGGCTGATCGTTGTATCAGGACTCAATCCACAGGGCCTGCGCTGGGTCTCTTAGCTGAGAAAATGTACTGCAGGTGGAGGTACCAGGTGGGGAGGGAGAGGCAGAGCCAGTGAGCACAGCTTGAGGGTGGGGGGAGCTGAAGGGGTGCTGGATATAGCAGCTGAGGACGTGTGGGTGAGGACTGGGTCCTTCCTGGCCCTTGAAGAGGTGATGAGGGCCTGACTGCCCACATGCCATGGGCTCGTGTGCCTTCCACGCTAGGTGTATGGTTATGGTAGGCATGCCCTACCCCAACATTAAGTCTCCAGAGCTACAAGAGAAGATGGCCTACCTGGATCAGACTCTTGTGAGTACCTCCAGGGTGGCAGAGGATGGGGGGAGATGGCTGGGGAGAATGTTCCATCGCCTCTAGGGCTGTGATAGCAGGGCTATACAGCTGTGACTTCCCCACTGCCTGCTGATGTGTGCCAGTGTTTGCTGCTTGCTCCAAGGGATGGGATGTACCTCCTAACCCTTGAGAGCTTCTGTGTGATCTCATCTGTTATATGAGCTGCTGGCATTGTGCTCATGAAGCCTACTGTTCTCGCTCCTGGCAGTATAATTTTCTCCGAACGCTAAGCAGGAGGCAAGAAAATACTGATCGGTCATCTCCTCTGCCCTTCCCAGCCCAGAATCCCAGGTCAGCCCCCACCAGGGAAGGCTTTGGTAGAGAATCTGTGTATGAAGGCTGTCAACCAATCTATAGGTAGGCCTGGGCCTGTCCATGTGGATAGTGGTGATGGATGGTGGGGGAATGAGGTGACAGGAAGGAGGGATTTTACTTCTCTTTAGGGTTGGGGGGGACACAGTAGAAAGCCAGCATGGCAGAAGCTGGTTTAACTAAGAGCACCACCCTCTTTTCCCATCTAGGCAGAGCCATCAGGCACCAGAAGGATTTTGCCAGCATAGTGCTCCTGGATCAGCGGTATGCCCGCCCACCTATCCTGGGAAAGCTGCCGGCCTGGATCCGAGACCGTGTAGAGGTCAAAGCCACCTTCGGCCCTGCCTTTGCTGCTATGAGGAAGGTCAGTCCTGCCTTACCCTGCCCCCTGAGAGCCTCCGCAACCCTGAGGTCTAGTGTCTCACTGCCTACACCTCTCTCCCCAGTTTCACCGTGAGAGGTCTGTCACCTCCTGATGGATGGCCCGCCGTCGCCTGGGGGCCCAGTTCTTCCTTCACCCTGCCCACTTGAAGTGTTGGTCTTGGGCCTGCTCTGTGGAGAGCCAGCCTAAGAAGGTGATACCCAGGTGGAGACCAGACCAGCCCCTTTCTGGAATCAGTGGGTTGCCAGGACTAGGCATTGGTAGAAAAGCCAGTAGGAGAAAAATCGAGTCGATCCTGAAGAAACAGTGGGTCCTGGCCATCCTTGGGCCCACCCCGGAGCAGCTGTTCCCCTCCCTGGAATGGGGCGGTGCCCATTCAGCGTGGCCCAGAGTTGAGCTCCCTGCCCTGTGCCACTGCAGTATCTCTGGCCTTGCAGTCTCTCAGTGGCCACCTTCTCAGAGGCAGGCCCTACTTCCTTTCTCCCTTCTGGCTAGTTAGCTGTTCTAGACCTTCACCCTCTCTTCAAAACAAAGAACCCTGCATATTTCTAGCCTCCTGGTGCCCACAGGGCTCCTTCTGCACCCCTCAACCCTACCTTCTTTCTCTATGTTGTTAAGAATGGGGAAGGGGGACCTGGATGGCTCAGTCTTGGTTAAGCATCTGACTTTGGCTTAGGTCATGATCTTGCGATCCTTGAGTTCAAGCCCTGCATCGGGCTCTGTGCTGACGGCTCAGAGCCTGGAACCTGTTACGGATTCTGTGTCTCCCTCTCTCTCTGCCCTTCCCTTCCTTGCATTCTGTCTCTCTCGCAAAAATAAACAAACATTGAAAAAAAAATTAAAAAACTGTAAAAAGAGCCCCAGCTGGCTCCCCAACCTGTCGGCCTTTTTTTTTTTTTTTTTTGGTGGGGGGTGGAGGTTTGTTTTTAAACCATGGTTCTGGTCCCTAACCTCTTCCACAGCATCTCTTGCTCCTCTGGCTTGGTTCCAGGTCTTTCTCCAAGTCAGTGGCACCTTCTTCCCCCTCAGCCACTTGAGCAATCTCCAAGACATCTCCTCTCCTGACTTTAGCAATTATGCCAAGGGCCATTAGGTTCTCAGCAGGACTATTTTTAGAGACCCCGTGTCTATCACGGAGACGTTTTTCCCTGTGTGGAAATACCCCGCCTCCATCTGCACCATCCGTCCCTGATGACTGCACCTCTCTTCTCCCCCTGACCCAGAGGAAGGGGCCTCGGTGTGCCAGGTGCCCTGCCCCCATTGCTTGACCTGGTGGGAACAGGACAGGCACCGGCCTGGGGGAGACACTTGCACTCTGCACAGCTATAGTCCCCTGATTAGAAGCGCTCTGTTGGGTTTATGCTTGGTTCTTGCGGGTTGTCTTTATTGATCCATGTATTTATTTCAGTCTAGCTGGAGGAGAGCACAGGCAGAGAGCAGTGGCTCCCCCCCACCCCTGCAGCCATTTGGCCTCAGAAGCTGGTCACCTCAACCTCCTTGAAGAAGGTTCCGGGCACAGACGTGGGGGTGGAGGGAACAGTCCTCCACCATCCCTGTTCCTCCAAGGGCAGCAGGGGCAGAGAGACCCATGGGCCAGGCAGCCCTTCCCAGCCATGTCCATGGGAGGACAGTAACTCCATTTGGGTTTTAGGGGAAGGAGTGGCGAACCCCTAGGATTCCCAGTCGTCCTCATCTTCCTCTCCAGGTGGCTGCTGTGGGGGAGGCAGAGGTGGTATGGAGTCTGACATTCGGGCGAAGGCTCCTCCTGGCCCCTCGCTGGTCCCCGCCGCAGGTCCTTTCCCAGAGATACCTGGGAGGGCAGAGGTGGAGGGTGAGGGGGTTGGTTTGGGATACCAGTTCACCCAGCCCCCAGACACTTAAAAACAGGAAGAAAAAGGCAGGACGTTCATGATACAAAATACCCTGAGCCTCCCAGCCCTGGGAAGGCAGCAGGTTCTGCTTCCTACCTTTACGCCTCATGACCAGCTTGTTAAAGAGATCTGACATCAGGTCCCCGCCTTGGCTTGTGGCTCTCACTGTAACAGGAAAGCCACTGGTGAAGAAAGATGAAGGAACCAAGGGCAGAATCTGCCCCTGGGGTGACATCCTCAGGGTTTGGGCCTATTTATTTTTTGCTCACTATCAACACATGCCAGCCCCTCCCATAGCCACCATGTCACCAGGTCTCAGACTGAATCCAGCACTAGGGCACTACTAAGAAACGGAGTAACACAGCCCCACTGTGAGACAAAAGGGGGAGGTATGAGTGGCCCCATTGTACGAATGAAGAAATTGGCCCAGAAAGGGGCAATTTGCGTGAGGGCATAGAGCAAAACTTAGAAACCCGGATGGGACTCAAACTCAGGACTTCAGGGCATTGCTGCTCTGTGCCCGGGTGTTCTATTCACGCAGGCATTTAGGATTCACAGGTGCAAGCTGCAGCCTCAAGAAGCTTAGCGAAGCAGGTCTGGGCTGGCCCTCCAGGTCCTCAATTTCTAAAGGATCTCACGTCCCCAACCACGTCCTTGGACAGCAGAATCTTAAGATTCTGTTGTCATGGTTTGATCTGGATGAGGAGGCTCTGTCTCTTGTTAGCTTGAAGAAAGTTCTAAGCAGGTTATAAAACCAGGAGGGAACCCACAGCCCAGGTTGGGGTGGGGGGGTGGGGGCAAGGGGGTGCAAACAGCCACCCAAGCTTCCAGCAGACACACCCTGGAGGAAGCACGAGGCAGGCTGGCTGGGTGCCGCCCTTCTGACCTCTGGGGTGGGAAGAGGGCACCCTATTGGAATCCTGCTACAAGAGAAGGCGGCCCTTTCCTAGAGAGCCCAGAATCCCCTCACCTTGTTCCTGCTCCTTCTGTTTCTTCTTCTCCAGCTTGCGCTCCTTGACACTGCGGAGCTTGGCCTTGCCAATGCCCCCAGCCTGGCGGATGGACTCCAGCAGAGTGGCCCGGCCACTGGAGGGGTCCACCACTTCCTTGGGAGCTCCCTGGACAGTGGCTGAGAGGGTGTGAGGAAGAAGGCTGCTCAGGCAGGCCGCTCTGTGGGACAGCCTTGCCCAGCCTGTGGTTCTGGGGGTCCAGAGGCTTCCCCTCAAGCCTAGCTGTGAGAACGGGGTCTTCCTCTTGACAGAGGAAGCCAGTGGGTGAAGCCAAGCCCTAGGTGACTGTGCAGCCTGAATGCTGACTGTGTCTGCTGCGCTGAGGAACTCCTATATGTAGGCACCCCTGGTCCCTTCCAGCACCACTTGGTTTAGGGGCCAGTGCAAATCTACCGATTTTGCTGACAGTGTCTGAACTTGACACACGAACCACCAAGGGGTTTTGTGCCACCTGTGGGTACTGGAGATAAACCAGAGGTCATGCTAAAATGAAAATCCTCATTTTTAAGGATTTGGATATTTTATTGCTGAAGTTCTCCATTTATTTCAGTAGCCCCCTTTTTCCCACTAGTTTAAGTAGGAATGGGGGACCACAGCTCCACGTCCAGGCTCCTTCTCCCTGGAGATGAGAATTTGGGTGGGCTACAGTTTGAAAACCATCTCATGAACCCAGTGAAACAAGATCTTGAAACTAGAACTATTCTGAAAGCCTGAGCCTTATGGCACATAAACCTATAGAAAACCCTTCAGGGATCTGGAAATCAGAGTTATCCTCAAAGAGCACACGCCCCCTCACCCAGGACACCCCCTGCACCCTGCTGCTGCTCCTACCTGGAGACATGCCACCGCTGCTGGCCTCCTCCCTGGTGCCTTGGCCTGGGGAGGCCAGGGTCTGGGGTGGGGGTGGTGGAATGCTGACCGCCAGAGCCGGGGGAGGCGGTGGGGGAGGGGGTGGGGGAGGGGGTGCTGTCAGCACGCCGTCTTCTGGGTCTGCAACGAAGTGTGAGAAAGTGTGATGTTCCTGGGACGCAAGTGGCCAAGCAGGGGACTCCTGCCCAACTCCCGTTCCCAGCTCACCTGGCTTGAAAGGCTCAGCCACCTCTGTGTGGAAGGTGGGCAGCTCTGGAATGGTGCCAGGGGCAGAGGGGGCGATGCCGGGGCCCAGGTCGGCGCTGTACATGAGGTCGTCGGCGATGCCTGGCAGGTCGGGCAGGTAGGACGGCACATCGATCTCCGGCACTTGGCCCAGGTCAGGTACATAGAAGTAGTTCTCTGGAACCTGCATGATTAGGTGGGAGTGGATGAGTGGGGGGCTGCAGGGGACTGGGGCCCTATAGTCTGACCTTGGGGCAGCGAGCAGGGCCTCATGCACACCTGTGTATGGCAGGGTGGGAGGAGGGGCTCAGCAGACCCTGAAAGAACACTAGCTGACTCTCATCCACTACACTCCCCCACGACACGCACCCTCCATCCTCACCTGTTGCTCCAGCTGCTCCCTCTTGCTGATGGACAGAGGGGCATCGAACAGCTTCTCCTCCGTCTCTGCCCCCAGCATCACGTGAGTCTTCGTTACAGCACCAGCTAGGGGGTCCAGGAAGACGTACTTTTTGTACCTGCAGAAGTGGGATGGGTGGGGGGCAATCCATCATCTGCTCTAGGCCCATGGTCCTGACCCATCTTTCCTACTTCTTCGTGGCCAGTTTGTACTGTGGATTCCTGAGGACTTACAAGGTAAACCAAACTGCTCAGCTCCTGGCCCCACACCCCCTACAGCCTACAGACTTCTGCACCTGAGTCTGATGCTCCCTGTATCCCCCACAAAGCCAGGCCGGGCCCCCAGCCACCCTTCGAGAGCCTTGCCCTCTGTCATACAGGTTCTCGGTGGTGTTGAATAGCAGCAGGGAGCTGACGGAGCTGATGTTGCTGGGAAGGCCCCCGAGCCCCTCCTCGGCCTCATCCTCAGGCTCTGGCTTGGTGTTCACACACACAGGGAAGTATTTCAGCTTCTCCTGGCGGGGTCAGGGGTGGTAACATAAGAATGGTGGGTTTTGGTACGGGGCCAAAGTGACCACCCCGTCCCAGTCAAAATCCTCTCGGGACAACCCTCAGTTCCTCCCCCAAGCCAAGGCCACCTCTGGTCACCCCTCCCAGCGTATGAGCCCGTCAGACCTGCAGGGCCCACTCATCCAGGGGGCGATGCTTGCTCTGGATCCTGTGACGGGGGCGTCTCTGGAGGCCAGGGTCCTGGGCACCTGCAAAGATGGAACCGTACTCCTGCAGATGCTCTGGCGCAGGGTACTTGGCACTGGAGAACACCTGTGGACACAGAGTTAGAGATCAATTCTTCAGGGGGCCCAAGATGCTCCAGCCTGGGCGTGGGGTGGGGGTGGGGGATTCTGACCAGAAGGAAAGCTTGAGGGGTGGCTGGACAGGATGGGCAGGAACCTGGACAACCTCCGAGGCATCAGAAGATAGGGATGGGATTTCTGTGACTGCCTGCCAGCTACAGGGACTTGGGGTCACATGGGCTACCTTGATGGCCTTCTTGCTGCCCTTGATCTTCTCGATCTTGGCCTGGGCCAAGGAGACCCTCTCCCCAATGGCCTGTAGCTGCCTCCGGCTGAGCTCTACTCGCTGGGAGATCCTGCCAGGGAAAAAGAATCACGGCCTGAGGGCTGCTTCCCAAGCACACCGGCTTCTGCCTGCAAGCCCGCAAAGCCAAGGGCTTGGGCAAGGGCCCTTCGAATACAGTGTTCTCTGATGGTGATGACAGTTCTTGGGACTGCCAAGATGGCCTCTGCAAGGCTCGTCTAACCTTTAGAGTCTAGGCATGAACTCTACTGGATTCCTTGGAACTCTGGATAGGAATTGGCAATCATTCTGGCCTCAAGTCGGTGCCTGGACAGGTCATCTTTAAGGGACAAGGCTCCTGCTCCTGCTCCTGGGAGTTGACAGCCTCAAGCAGGGGCAAGCAGAGACAAAACCATCATGACTCATGTACATCATCACCTATTTCCAGACAAGGAAACTAGAGCTCAGCAAGGATGGGTGACAGGCAAGACTGGGTATAAATTCAAGTCCCAGACGCGTTCACAGGGAGCTGCCCCAACACATCATCAACGGCTCGTGTGGGCAACTCCAAAGTCCTCACCGTGGTTCTCATGGTTGTTGTCAGGGTGCTCTTGGGTTTCTACTTGCCCTTCCCTGATCAGTGGACTCCAGTGACCCCAGTGCCCTGCTATTCCCTGAACATGCCAACCGTATCATCACGTGGCCTTTGCATCAAATGGAGCGCCGTCCCCACAGATAACCACATGGTTGACTTCTTTGCTTCCCTCCTCACTGAAGCCTTCCCAGCCACGGACTCTGAAGATGCACCTGTCACTTTCCAACCCTTTTTTTTTTTTTTTTAACACAGAGCCACTTAACATTACACACGTGTGCTACGTGTGCTCCAAGGGGGTAAGTGCTTGGCTTTGTTCCCTACTGCGTTCCCAGTGCCGGCACCTGTAGGCGTTCGCTGGGTGACTAGCACCCATGTGCCCTAAATGTACAACCACATGAGTCTCACACTGTTCCATGTTATTGAGCAATGGCAGGTTTCTTCTCACCGCAGAGTTGACAGATGCCAGGGTATCCTCCTCCCGATTGCTCCCTCACCTCCAAGAACATCAGTCCTTGCCCATGACCCCCAAGTTTCACATTCAGAGTTGTCACATAAGCACTCACCTGGCAGAACTGAGCACACGAATGAGGAACAGGCAGAACTCCCAAGTTTATTTTGGAGGGTAGGGGAGGAGGACACAGTGGGTGGCAGGAGGCCCCTGCTGCCTCTGGGGTCAGAAACTATACAGCCAGGGAACTCTGGGATTTCTTTAGAAGTTGAACAGTCAAGGCTCTGGACCAATCTTCCTAAATCAACCTCCACCAACTCTAGAGGAGTCTGGCCCCCAGAGAGCCAACCTGATCAGCCAATTTCATAACCCAGGGGTCTCCATTCCTGAATCTCTCCCTGATTACTGCTGGCTCCTTATGTGCAGGGAGCTAAGTGAGGTGGGGGGCCAGGGTACAAGCAGGTACCCAAAGTAGGTTAGTCTTCCTTGACAGACTGGTCTGAGTTGGGCAGCAGAGAGGAACAGAGGGCAGAGTTTCCCAGTGAAAAAATGCAGAACCACCCGACTTGCATGAGCTCCATCTTTTCTGGCAGCAAGAAAGGTTTCCATCCACTGAGAAAGGTTATTCACGCCCAAGCTGCTTCCTCCAGTTCCCAACCCAGCCACATTCTGCCCCTGGGTGCTGAAGCAACGTCAGTGGTTACATAACCACTCGGCTTGAAGTCAACACGGAGAGTGGGAGGGACATCAGAACTGCAGAAGGACAAAGGCTATTCTGTTCCGGTTCTTCCATCAAGGAGAGAAGGGCCGGTTCCTCTAAGTTGCAAACATAAAGCTTAACAATAAACCCTGGCCAAGTTCCAGAATGGATTATTAAATCGAGGGTCTGTAAGCATTTCAAAGAGAAAGAGGCAGATCCCAGAGGCCAGCATTGTTCTAAATTCACAGCATTTCTTTTTCTGACAGTGTTATTAGACTGGTGTATCAGGGGAAAGCCTCAAACACAGGGCATCTTGAGTCAGCAAGGATTCTGACGGCTTCTCACAAAATCCTGTGGATGAGATGGAGCTTTGGGGGTTGGAGAAGAGCGCATTTAGGAAAAACCCGAAGGGCACTGCTGAAGAACGGACTGATTTCAGCCTTGCACAAAGGTCTCTGGCACGGCCCCATCTAGCTCATGAACACTGGATTAGCAAATGGGGTACTGAACGGAGGAGGGTTAGTATGGTCTGCATGGAGGAATCAAGACTCAAATGATCTTGAGAGGCTGGAAGGATGGACTGCAATCAACAAGATGAAACTGACAAGGGATGAAGTCCAGCATTTAGGTTTAAAAAGCCAAGTGCACAAATACAGAAAAGATGGTGGTTTAGCAACAAGGCCTGAGGTTCTGGTTAACTATAGCTCAGTAGGAGCTAAAAATGTGTTAAACAGCTTAAACAGGAAATTCGATCTTGGGGGCACACAGCTCTTTGTCCCTCCTTCCTTCTTTCAGTAAATAGGGGACATCCACGCTCTTGGAGGTGCTATAGAGAAAACAGACCCCAGATTAATGAGCTAACCTATGCCAGGCACCAGCCTCTCTGCAGTTGTGTCCCCTTTAAACTGGATCCACATTTTTTTTATTTATTTGAGACAGAGAGAGAGAAGAGAGAGCGCAAGTGGGGGAGAGGGGCAGAGAGAGAATCTTATCAACATGGGGCTCAATCTCTTGACCCTGGGATCATGACCTAAACTGAAATCGAGAGTTGGATGCTCAGCTGTAGAGCCTCTCAGGCACCCCTAAACTGGATCCACATTTTAAGAGTACTCTGAATTCCATCTAGACTATAGGGTCTGTCTGTATTCACTGCTGTATCTCTAGTACCTGGGACTGTGCCTGACGTGTAACAAATACTGGCTGAATGTAAAGAGACAAGTCAAAGAACGTCCAAAGGAGAATGGTGAGGAGTGATTAACTCATGTCATACAAAGATGAATGAAGGGTGTTCTGGCTACAGGTGAGATGACTTAGAGAATATGGTAATTCCCTTCAAACATCAAAACGTTCACAAGTGCTGTTGGGCTGAAAAGCGATTAGACTTATTCTGTCACCCCAGAAGGCTGCATAAAGACAAGTGGGTAGAGTTACAAGGAAGCAGATCTCGGTTCTAGACAAGAACTTTCTAGAAAAGTTACACAGCTTTTCAGTCAGAGTCCAGCAGGATGACCACCTGTCAGGAATGCTCCAAGGGAGACTGCTGTGTAGGGCAGGGGAAAGGAGACCAGGAGCTTACAGATATCCGAGAGCCTACATATCTAAGTAATGGCCTACTATACTCTGGTTTCTCTTCAGATCATATAAATCTTTCGCCTTTTACTAAGTAATGGCCTCCTTGTTGACAAAGCCCCCAGTCTGATCTGTCACAGTCATAGCCATGGTGCCGAGATAGGTGTAGACCATTGGTGAAAGGGTTCTCACTGCTGGGCTACATTAGGAAGGACCGGCGGGCCACGTGCGGCTGGGACAGAGTGTCACAACCCAGTGGCAGTGTCCCCTATGAGGGAGGGGGAGTAGTGGCGAGTAGGTGATTGGTCATTCCTAATTTATGACCCCTGGCATGATGATCTGCTTCAAGGCAGGTCAGTTTCCAACCTTATCATGGAAGCCATGTCTTCAAAACACATGTGCCCAGGCACCAGGGCTGCCACTGTTGGCAGTGGCTTAGTCAGTCTGCTCAGAGCCTGGGACACAGAAGAATTAGGTAAAACACACAACTGCCCTCGGGGAGATTCCTGTCTCCCAGGGGGAGAGGTGACTACAATGCCCCACAAACCTGGGTTTAACATCTATTGAGCATGTCACTCCACAGGCCTAGGCCTCAGGCTTCTTCAGCTGACACAGGGACAGTGACTTCTGTATCATGGAATTACTATAAAGGTTAAAATGAGCAACTGTGTGTCTAGTGTTCCGTACTAGTGGATATATCTGAAGCACTTGGTTAACATTTGCTATTACTACCCCTGAGATTAGGAGGGATGAGGGGCTCCAGGCACACAGATGAAAGCAAGAGGAGGCGGTGCTGACGTGGAGCAGGAAGTTCCCGGCCAGGAGAGACCACACAATGGAGCAGAGAGCTGGGCAACAGCATAGGCTCCTCTGGCTGGCATGGGAGGGTCTCAAGGAAGTGCCCTAGGGACCACTCTCCTGGCATGGGAGAGGAAAGGGACAGTGCTTGGGCCTGGGTCCCCTACCTCCAATGCCCGCCCTCAGTCCCTCAGGGATGATTTCCTGCCCTGGCCCCTGGCCATCAGCACTCCCACCCTGCCTTCCGCAGAGACTGCTGGGGAGGAGGGAGGAGGGAGCACCCTTCCTGTCCCAGAGTCTCTGCTTCTCCCCTTGCTTGTCCCACCCCTTGGCATTGCAGACCTTGAACCTGCTCTTGCCATTATTTCCTCCTCCCCCTCCGCTCACTGGGATGATTAGGAATGATCTGCTAATTATGCAAGTGGCTGACTGACTGCTTCCCAACCTCAAGAGTCACCACGTGCCAATCAGGACCAAGAAAGGAGGGGGAGGGGAGGGGAGGGGAGGCTGGAGGAAGTGAGGCAGAGGGGGAAGGATGGGAAAGCATGAAGGGGAGAGAAGAGAGGAAAAGAAGGAAAGGAGGGGTTGGAAAGACAAAGGAAAAGCAGGGGAAAGCTCTGCAGGGAAAAGCAACCCTTCCCCAGGCTGCGGTTTCCTGGGTGAGGCGGCCACAGTGCTGGGGCTGATGGGGACGCCAAGTGACAGCATCTGACCCCAACCTCCACCCTGTCCAGCTCTTCCCTATGCCACCCCAGCCCCCCCTGCCTTGTCATCTGCGTCATGTGAAGCCGCTGACGTCTCTGGGCAGCTGATTTGGGGCCTGGCTGGTCCCAGGTGAAGATGAGGGCAGGTGAGGGGTGGGCGTGCTGCCAGGCAGGAAGGGAAGTGGGTCCAGGAGAGCCTGAGAGGTACTTGTCATTCTCTCCAGTCCCGAGGCTCCCGCTGCGGCAGAGCAGGAGGAGG